GTCCACATCGAGGACAAGACGGCGGCCGAGGACGCCATCCGCAACCTGCACCACCACAAGCTGCACGGCGTCTGCATCAACGTGGAGGCCAGCAAGAACAAGAGCAAGGCCTCCACCAAACTGCACGTCGGCAACATCAGCCCCGCCTGCACCAACCTGGAGCTGCGGGCCAAGTTCGAGGAGTACGGCCCCGTCATCGAGTGCGACATCGTCAAGGATTATGCCTTCGTTCACATGGAGCGGGCGGAGGACGCGGTGGAGGCCATCCGTGGGCTGGATAACACCGAATTCCAAGGTGATCCGCGCCGGGGTCGCGGCCGAGATCCGTGGGGAGCGGGGATGGGTCTGGCACTTTGAGCCCCAGGGGTCTCCGGGAGGATTCCCCATGTTCCCGTTAAGATGTTTTCGCTCCCTCCCAGCTCCGGCTGCGCAGGTTGGGGGTGCAGCAGCAGCACCGGGGTGACCGGCCCGCCGGCGATCTTCGGCGAGACCGCAGCCGGCACCGCGCTCAGCTCTGTGGCAGAGCAGCACCGCCAGGCTCACCCGCCCTTCCCCTCGCTGGAATTAAGTGCAAATGAGGGGTTTTTTTGTTTTTTTTTTTTTTGCACTCCGGCTCCCCTCGTGCCGTGCAGGGTGCGACGAGGGCCAAGCCGGCGCGGCACAGCCGCTTTCCTGTCCGGCGAGCCCCAGTGCTACTTTCCCGGTCGCCGGTGTGGCCACGGCAGCCAGAGCGAGGGCAGGGACAGTTGGGGCTGGGCCGGGGGAGGACGGGACTGATCCATCTCTGACTTAACCCAGCACGGCCGCCCCGCAGGAGGATCCCGACGGCGAAGTCCCAACTCTTGTGCCGACGGCCGCCGCGCCTGGTCCTGCCGGGCCGGAGCAGCGGGTCCCACCCGCGCGGCGTGAAGCCAGGCTGCCTCCCGCCCTTGTAGCGTTGCCCTGCCTGGTAAGAGGGTGAGCGGAGGCGCCCGATCCCGCGCCGGCCGTGTCCCCGCTGCCGGCAGCACGCGGCATTGCTCGCTCGGGCTCTCAACGTGCCGCCCCGGGCCCTCGCCCGGCTCCCAGACGAGACGCGGCGCGGGCGCTTTCGCTGGCAGCCTCCTCCTCTCGGCCTCTCGCGCGAACGCAGCGGCGGGGCCGAGCGTCCGGATTTGAGCTCGCGGCCGAGACTCGGCGGCGTGGCGCTGATGGCGAGCGCGTCCCCTCTCCGGAAGCGGTGCCGGCGGGCGGGCCGGGTCGGCAGGGAGGCGTCCGGTGCTTCACCCCGAGCGGCGGTGGGGCTGGGCTTGGCCCTCCTGGTTCCCGCTGGGGTTTTGGCAAACCCCGCTGCCCCGATTCCGGGTGTCCCCCAAAACTCTTCTCCAGCCGGGATGGTGCAGCCGCATCCGGAGCTCCCTGGCTGTGGGGCATCCGCGGGACCACCAAATGCCCCCGGCTGCGCTTGGCTTGCCTCATGCCGCGCTTGAAGCCGGCCCCCGTCCGAAGCCTCGTTTGCTCCGGGGTGGTTGTCCGGTGTCGCATCCGTCTGGCCGCCGCAAGGAGCGTGCTGGCGGGCGCATTTTCCGGCGGGAAGCTTGCCGTTGATGCGGGGCTGTCCCCGGGCTGCTGTGGCAGCACTACCGTGTGCCGGTTGCCGGCAGAAAGCCGTCTTTGGCTGCTTGCCGGGGTAGTCGGCAGCTCGCCGGCTGGCTGAGCCGCCGGAGCCTGTCCTGGCTTAGCCTGGGGTGGCCAGCGCGGGCAGCGCTCAGCCTCGCCAGCAGAGCCC